AATGGTAATAACATGCATTTTTTATACTGCTATTTAAATGTTCTTGTGAATATTTGTTAGAACAGTTCTGGGTATAGAAGCTCCAATCCACAAACTCTAGCAATGACAGTCCAAGAAGATCTTCACGTACTCTGGGAAATATATTCTGATTCTAGACTTTAACCTTATTCAAAAAGAAGCTCTTTTAATAAATTTGCCTGTTGCCAGATCCAAATATACTAAGTGACATATAAATCCGAACACCCAGTTTAAATGGTTTTATTTTAATAAAAGTTGGTGAATGTATTTATCTTACTGTAAATAACAATTGAAAAAATTTTCAACCTTATCAGTTGGACATTCCGGTTTTTATACTGCTTTTTTTTTAATTCACTAACGCTTTAAAAATGAATATTTCAGCCGCAGTAAAGAATCAACGTTGGCGGATTTTGGTTCTTGACATCCTTTACGATCGGTTACGATGCCTAGAGTACGGAGACCTGTACGATTTCGTCAACTTAGTGAGTTTGATAGGGGCCGTATAGTGGGACTTCGGGAAGCTGGACTTTCTTTTCGGGCAATTGCAGGTAGAGTGCAAAGAAGTATAGACACTGTGGTTAGGTGTTGTCAGGCATGGCTTCGAGAAGGCCGTACGCAAAGAGCAAGGGGCACTGGACGCCGCCGTAGAACAACAGACCGTGAAGATCGCCGCCTAAGATTATTGGCCTTAAGGGACCGTTTCTCCACTACCAGGTCCATTGCAAATGAATGGTTTGCAGAACACGGAAGACCTATTGGCATGCGAAGTGTTTACCGACGAATGAGAAGTTTTGGCTTGTTTTCATACCGGCCACACTGGGTCCTCCCTTTAACTCGAGAACACCGACGTAATCGCCTTGAGTGGTGCAGACAACGGTCACTCTGGGATCAGGAATGGAACAGTATTGTCTTTAGTGACGAGTCTCGATTTTGTTTAGGCATGCACGATAGTCGTGCCAGGGTTAGAAGGCGACGTGGTGAATAAAGGAATCCACAGTTTTTTGTTGAAAGACATGTTCATCGCACTGTTGGAGTTATGGTTTGGGGTGCTATAGCTTATGGTTCCAGGTCACCTTTAATGTTCATCAGAGGTAACATGCACGCGCAGCGTTATATCCACGAAGTTCTAGAACCCCATCTTTTACCCTATCTTGACACCCTGGCAGATCCAACTTTCCAACAAGATAATGCCCGATCACATGTTGCAAGAGTCACAATAGACTTCTTTCAACATAATGATGTCACATTGTTACCATGGCCACCAAGATCTCCCGACTTATCCCCAATTGAGCACGTGTGGGATATGATGGGTAGGAGATTGCTCAATTTGCAACGTCCTCCTCAGACTTTAGAAGCACTTCGAGAGGAGTTGGTGGTTGCCTGGAATGAGATGCCACAGGAGGACATTGACCACCTGATCAGAAGGATGCCTAGGTGCGTTGGAGAATGCGTAGCACATCAGGGTGCATCCACACATTATTAAAGGTCAAAGGGCTTTAAAGCAGTGCAATCATTTTGAAATTTTTATCATTTACTTATTATGCTTCATTAAGTACTTATACAAAATTTTATTAAAATAAAACCATTTAAACTGGGTGTTTATATGTCACTTAGTATAAATGCTTTTTTTCAATTCCAAGAATTATTTGTTTTCTCCATACAAAGTTTGGTTTCTTGTCACTTTGAACAGAAGAGATTCTTGTGAACTTGTCTGTGAAGTTGATAGTTTTTGAGGTATAAGCGGTTTGCTATTTGAATTTGTGCCGTTTTAGAGCATAAAGAACAATATGAGAGAAAAAACCTCTCACGTTGCCAAATTCCCCAAAATTCTACCAATAAAGCCCCTAAGCACTTAAGAGGATATTAATATTGTCATTGTAAACCTTTGTGTTAACCAATCCCGCGTTTAATGATCCTTCGCTATACAGGGTGTTCCTTAATGATATTCGAATATTTAAGGGTATGTTGAAGTTTTAGGGAAACAATGGAAATTAATTAATATTTTCAAAACCGCTGCAGATATTTCACTGACATTTTGTATGTAGTGAAAGCTAATAAAGTTGCATATTCTTTAATGCAAACATAATTTTTAGTTTTAACAGTGGCGTGCGAACGGGTATTGAATTCGATATTTTAAAAAAAATGGTACGCCAATGTTTTTTGCCACATAAAAATTATTTTTGAATTCACCGTTCAATTTAAAACAAATGATCTCTCTTGAGAGATAGAAAAATAAAAACCGTTCTATTGTCCGAGAAAATTAATCTAATTCAACAATGCAATTTAGCAATAAATATCTAGTTGCTCTGGAATATGGCACTGGCGTTTGACATCTGACAAGTCTCTTATTATTTAGTTTTTGCGATCTTCTTAATAATGGTGAATTATTCAAATGCAGAAATGGCGGAAATGCTTTACGTATATGGCCTTGCCGACTGTAATGGTGAGCATGCCTGACGGATTTATCACCAGAGATATCCCGATCGTGCTTTGCCAGATAGTCGAATCTTTTCTAATATTCATCGTCGTCTTGTTGAAACTGGTTCTGTCCGAAAAGGAACATCTGAAGGTAGACCTCTAAGTGTGAGAACACCTGAAATTGAGGAAGCAGTGCTGCACGAAGTAGAAGAACAAACAACCTAAGTACGAGTACGAGGAAGATCGCTAGACACTTAAATATTTGCCATCAAATTGTTTGGAGAATTTTAGTGGATTTTTTGTTATATCCTTACCATATTTTAAGAGTACAGGCATTACTTCCCATTGATTTTCCAAGGCCTGTGACCTTTTTTGTATTGTATTGACTATTCCTATACAGTATTGTCTGTCTATGGAAAATAAATTGAATTGAATTAAATTGAATGAAGAAGAGACAAGCACTAAGTAAACCAAGAAGTTAAGAGCGGGCAACTCTTGAGCGCTGTAGCTATTGAATCCGACTAGAAAGTCACTTAGGCCCGTATCGTCAGTCGTTGCTACAATAAATTGTACGACGCTTTCATGTTCATAGTTTTCTACTGTTCCGTGTCAGCGTTCTACTTTGAGGTTATGTCACAAATATCTATTTGCTTCAAGTTTGCTTTTGATTTATATCATCAGATTTATCAGCCTGAAATTTCCTACAATTTAAAATGAGAACATAACTTCATAATAGGACAGCGCTGACGCTGACCCGGAACAGTAGAAATCCAGAAATCTCCAACCTTTCTGAAGGAGATAAAAGACTATGAAAATCAAGGAGGCCATGAAGGCGTCCTACAATTGTAGGAACGACTGACGATACGGCCCTGAAGCTTCTGGTTTGGATTCTCACAGACCACCTTAGATAGGACATGGAAATAGAAGATGATCCAAAGTTGGGAAGAAGATGAAATGTCATTCTTAAGCCCGGTTTTTCAATCGCAAGTTAACTTTTTGGTTAGTAAACTATCGCCAGGAAGTTAATTTGTAGTTACTTGCAAATGCGTTTTTCAAGTATTTTGACAGCGTCAGTTAACTTACCAGAAGTTCAACATATATTTATGTTACAGCCCTGTATCTGCAGTTCTTAGATATCGTGTTCTATGTGTTTTGTGCGCTCGGCATCTGTGTCCCGTGTCATACATGACAGTTCGATTGAATTAAATTTCTTAAAACAGCCAAAATCGAAATCCGGAAATTTCATTAAAAACGAATAAAACATAAAACCTTCGTCAAATAAGGTAAGTTTTTTCAAGCATTGCTCGTACAAATGTTTAGTAGTAGACCCTATAGACGGCATTATATAAATGGTGATAAAAAAGTTTGCAAATGCAATGTCTAATGAACCATACTAAGGTCCAAAAACGATTAAGTTGTAAATATCTGATGAATATCGTATTTTCCACCTTTTTTAATATCATTTCTATAATCTACAAGCCAAAAATAAAGGGGATACACAATACCTCTATTCTTGTTGCTAAAATTCTCAAAAACTGTTGCATGTAGCATAGAGAAAGAGATCAAAAAGAGAGCTCAAAATGTCTCGAAGAATGAGGAAATGATGCTAATATCATTGGTGAGCAAAAGTAAAGATGTAATAGAGAGCAAAACAAGTGGTACAGTTACGTGGAAACAGAAAGGTTCAGTCCGGCAGAGCATCGAACAAGAATTCCAAGCCCTTACAGGGTGCCACCGAGAGACAAAAACTCTACGAGATAAATATTTCAATTTAAAGAAAAAACAAAAAGCAAATTTGCTACAAACAAAACCAATATAATCAAGACAGGGGGAGGTTCATGCCAATTGCAAGCATTCGATCTGATTGATACACAAATACAAGATATAATGGGACCACAATTAGAAGGTTTGACAACAATTATGATGATGAGTGTAGTGACCAAGATGAGGTGGTTTCTGAACATGGTAAGTCTCATCGCTGTTGATTGAAACATTTTTTTAATTATTTTTTAGTTCCTTATGCAATTAACTGTGATGACAGTAGTCTTCAATAATGAGAAATGGAACTCCTATACTCCCCAACAACTCAAGAGGCCCAAAACTATAAAGCTATCATGTACGAAAACGGTACAAAAGAAAAAATATATTTCTGTTAACTATCTACTAATGGAAGAAAAGCTGAATTTTTTGAAACTACAAAAAGAAAAATTCATCGAAGAACACAATAAAAAAATGGAAATATATCAAAAAAAAGGTTCAGCTGTTAGATTTACAGATCAATGCATTCGATAAGTAGAAAACAAAGGATTTATTTTGTTAATTTCTGGAATATTTTCACTTGCACTAATTTTTTTTGTATTTCGCATTTTTGAAGATAATAAAGTGTTTTCAGAAAATCATGTTTATTTTCATTCTGTAGGGGATAATTCATGTCAAGTAGATGCGAGCTTTGGCGAAAACTTTAGGTGTTTAAAAAAATCGACTGAGTGCCAATTTTGAGGCTTGGGACATCTATTTTCAAATGCCGTGTGCGCCTTTTTTGGGCACCAACAATTTTGGCCACAACTCTTATCCACTTGCCATGGATTATCACAGATCTTATACTAAACAATTTTCATCTAGCATCGAGTCATTCACTGAGCATCAGTGAATGTATTGAATCGATTTACAAATTTGCAAAATAATTATTAATATGGTAAGTTCTAACATTGTTGATTGCATTTTGTGGCAACCTAATATTTACAGGATCTGTCTTCACATTATCTACATGAACCATGTTAATAGCATTTTCCTGTTGAGGACTAATAAGGGCATAGCTTCATTATTAGGACAAGCAATATTATGTAGCACTGCTGTTCCTAGAGTAACTGATTGAGCTGTATCTAGATGAACACTGAGACCCATAGCTAGACATGGAAATCTTCTTTTCTAAACTCCATAGCTTCTCTCTGAAACATTGCGACTACGAATGATAGATTCATTGTATAATTCTTCAGCAGGAGTTGTAGTTGTATTTAATGGTGTCATCAAATAGCATTTAATAGGATAACCTTTGTCACCAGCCAACAAAGAGTTTCCAAAGTGACCTGATTCAAATTGTCTGCAGAGCTGAGAATTTCCGGAAATGTATGAATCTGCGTCAGAAACAGTTCGATTTCTGAAGAGCTCTGCATGGCCTCCTCCGGGAGAAACAATTTTTATATGCGTGCAGTCAGTTGCACCTATGCATTGATGAAAGCTAGCTATATCATTTATAAACGATTGCTTTGCCCTGACAAGAGCCTCAAGAGTGTCCAGCTTTTTTATGTGATTACTTCTTTTACTCGTTAGTACTTTTAAGAATCTTCGGACTGTTTTGGATGCAGTTGCACAGCAAAATTTCCAGCAACAGTTAAAAAACTTCCATTGTGCAGTGCTAACAACAGCCGCTGTTGGGGCGTTAAGCAGTTATTCCTGGAATGACCAAGTCATGGAAAAATATGGAAATGAACAATGATAGATACATCTACCTGCTTGCAGGATATACTAAATCTTCATAGACTTCGTCCAGGAGAGTTTCTACAGTCCTTTTTGTAAGACGAAATCTTGCGAGGAAATCGAGGTCATCAAATTCATCAAAGGAATTCGGCCGATTATTTTTGGCCTTCTCGCGTCTTCGTCACTGCTATACGCATTCACGTCGTAATCCATAAACCTATTTATAGCTTAAATTAATCGATAGATAAGGAGCAGACCATAGAGGAGCTGAGAGCCGAATTGGAGATGGTTCGACAGGAGCTGTCAAAAAAGGACGATGACAAGAAGACCAATGAAAGATTGATGATGATCATCGAAGCCCAGCAGCGGACAATTACCGACCTAACAGTTAAATTAGACCTCCTACTGAAAACCCAGGTACCTTCCCATCTAAATATTACAAATTCTTCCCAAACACCTCCCAAAAATCCCAGTAAAGACAAAGCTGTCAATCTTAAGAGACCGTTACATAATTCAAGCGATCTTTCCACAGACGACGATACACTCCCTGACGGTTTTACCAAGGTTAAGCCCCGTAAAACGCGACGAAACAAGACCGACACGACAGCCTTTCCTCCTCTCCCTTCACCAAAATCGCAGTCTGAAACATCTCATTCAACTGCAGGCGACTCGAATAAACAGCCTGTGCCTAATCTATCGGTTACTTCCACGCCTTCGACATCTCAGGTACCAGAAGACACGACTGCACAGCCCCCACGCAAGGTACGTGTTACCCCATCGTACTTCGTGATGCTTCGAGATGGCGAGGCGTAAATCACAAGTTTATTTCCTTGGGCATCAAATTCGAACGCGCGGTTGCCGTCGATGCAGGAATCAGGATAATTCCCAAGTCCGAGGATGATTACCGCAGGATTATTCGTCTCTTCAGGGAGGAAGAGGTGCCCCATCACACTTTCCCCTCTACCCTCCGAGAGGAACATTCATGCTGTAATCAGAGGAGTACATGCGACACTTTCGGAAATTGAGATCAAGGAAGAGTTGCAACAGAGGGGATATTCCCCCATGCACATAATTCGCCTGAAACGCGGTGGCGGCGTGCCCATGCCTTTGGTGGTAGTCATACTGCCCAAGATAGAAAAATCTCAGCAGCTGTTCAACGAACACGAGCTGCTAGGTTTGGCTATCCGAGTCGAAGTTCAAAAGAACTCAAGACTCATCGGGCAGTGTCACCGCTGCCAAAAATATGGGCATGCGCAATCTTACTGCACTGCACCACCTAAATGTCTAAAATGTGCCTCTGACCACATGACCCACTTATGCCCTCAAACAGAACAAGAGGAACGAAAGTGCGCGAACTGTGGAGGGGGGCATCCAGCGAATAGCCGAACTTGCAGATTTGCCCCTAAGAAAAATCTGCAAGTGATAGTGCAAAGGCGCAATGTAAGTTACGCGGATGCAGCTAGGGATGCAACCCGGGCTGCCCCCTCTGTGGGATCTTCTGCGAACACGCAAAATGTGGACCTGGCAACCGCGCTAAGGTCCTTACAGCAGATCATAGGTCCTCTGATTAGCGCAACACAGGCTTTGCAGGCGATCTTTCCTGCAAATGGCTAGGTACAATCGACGACAGCCTGCATTTATCAAAATTCTTTTTTGGAATTGTTTGGGTCTAAGGGACATTCCCAAAAGACGGGAATTTCATCAAGCTCTTGTGGACGAAAGTATAGATGTGGCCTTGCTGCAGGAAACATTACTTAATCCGGGAGATCGTCTAGCTTTCCCGAATTACGATGTTATCCGGGCTGATAGATTGACTGGACGGGGTGGCGGCTTGGCAGTGCTAGTGAAACGCGGTATTGACTACCACAGAAGCACAAACGCTGGCATGCAGAGCATCGAAGCGGCTTCCGTGGTGGTCAATATGACGGGAGGTGTGCCGTTAAAAATCACATCGGTGTATGTCAGGTGTGGTAACAGGCTGCAAGAGGCGGATCTGGAAGTCCTTTTAGACTACTCGGGTCCACTTATTGTGGCAGGGGACTTCAACTGCAAACATCGAGCATGGCATTCCAGGTTGAATTCCACCAGTGGGATCCGACTGTACAACCATGTGATACGAAATGGCTACCTCATACATAGTACTGAGGAGCCGACGCACCACCCATTTAATCACCTTCAGGCACCTGATGTTCTTGATTTGGTATTATCCAAAAACTGTAGCTACAGCATCACTTCTCGAATCAAGTATGACATCTCAAGCGATCATCTTCCCGTCGTTTTGGAAGTGGCTAATGAGCAGATCTTGGGGGATGAAATCCCTCCAAGGAAACGCATTGATTGGGAGCTATACAAGTCGCTCCTCAAAGAGTTCCTCAATATACCGATCATAGATGATGAGAACGGTATAGATGCGGCTCAAGCAGAGTGGACAAGTTTTGTTCAGCAAACTCTGCAGCGTGCAGCTGTACTTCCCGTGCAGCGACACGGCAGACCTTTTCTGCCAGCAGACATTCGTCAGAAAATTTCTGATAAAAGAGCTGCAATTAAGCAAGCGAAAAGGTCTTGTCATCCTGATGATATTCGCAGAGCGACGAATCTTGTTCATGAAGTAAGAAATGCTCTTCATGAATTCCGCAATGAGCAATGGAACGACTTTCTGGCGGGGATGCTTGACTCAAGCATTCCTCTCTGGAAGGTGACGAAGTCGCTCAAAAACGGAAAGCGTGAACAAATCCCACACATTCACGGTCCTGGAGGCATTGTCTTCAGGACAGAGGAGAAGGTTGAGGTTTTCGCCGATGCCGTGGAAAGACAGTTCTCTCCCAACTATGATCTTGATAATGACCTCGACGAGGAGCAACACATCGTAAGATCTGTCAGGAGATATTTTAGGGCCAACGGCGTCAGTGACAGTCGCGCATTCGTTGGTGATTTTTCTTCATCAGGAGATTCTTCTTCAGAAGCTTCTTCAACCGAAGATTTGCTTAGCACATCAGCGGTATCTCCTGAGATCCCGCATTGCACACCAGCAGAGATTCAAGGTCATATTAAAGACCTTAAAGTGCGTAAAGCACCTGGGGAGGATCAAATCACTAATAAGGCGCTGAAGCTGCTTTCGCGGAAGTCCTTAACTTATCTCGTGGCAATAGTCAATGCCATGCTCAGGATCCAGTACTTCCCATCCGCGTGGAAGACCGCTGAAGTTATAATGATTCCAAAGAAGGTGGGTTCGATATTTCCCCAGGATTATCGTCCCATTAGCCTGCTGTCAGCTGCGTCTAAGCTCGCTGAAAAGGTGATTCTACGTCACCTTGAGAATTTCTCGTCAGATCACCATGTGATTCCTGACGTGCAATTCGGTTTTCGGTCTGAACATAGTACGGAGCTACAGGCGGTTAGGCTGGTGGAACGTGTAACCAGAGGATTCACCCTTAACGAAAGTACTGGCATCTGGCTTTTGGATGTCTCAAAAGCATTTGACAAGGTGTGGCACGCGGGCCTCTTGTATAAACTAATCCAAAAGGGCTTCCCTTTTTGGCTTCTAAAACTACTGAAATCCTTCCTTGAAGGTAGGAAATTTCGGATCAAAATTGACAATGTGCTGTCGACAACACGGCTGATTACAGCCGGCGTCCCTCAGGGTTCGGTCCTTGGACCTATCCTTTACTCACTGTACATCCATGACGTCCCTAGTCAAAGCAACTGTGAAGTCTATCTCTATGCTGACGATACTGCATTGGTGACTCAGTCGTGGTCTAGTGACCTAGTCCATGACAGGCTGCAAAGTGCGGTGGAAGAAGTATTAGATTGGGCGGATCGGTGGCTAATTAAAATAAACCATTCGAAAACGCAGGCAATCTACTGTACAAAAAGACGTCGCGGCGTTCCGTCTGAAGTTTCAATGAATGGACTTCGTATACCATGGGAATCCTCCGCTAAGTATCTCGGTGTCATTCTGGACAAAGGGATGACTTGGCGGAACCATATGGAAGCGCTAAAAACTAAATTCCAAATTACGTTTCGGCAGCTTTACCCATTATTATGTAAACGATCAAAATTAAGTTTGATTAACAAGATTCGACTCTATAAGGTGGTCATAAGACCAGCAATGACATACGCATGTGCGGCTTGGTGTTTTATTGCTAAAACACACATGCGAAGTCTGCAGGTTCTGCAAAGCAGGACGTTGCGCACTATTGCTGATGCCCCATGGTATGTCTCTAACGAAACTCTACATAGATACCTCGATGTCCCTTACCTAAAGGACTACATTAAGCAACAGGCGCAGCGGCGCTATAGCCTAGCGGAATCGCACAGCAACCCTCTGTTGCGTGATTCAGTGGACTACACAGTCGAGCAAGTTCGCAAGCATAAAAGGCCGCGGCTCGCACTGTAATCAAAATTAACTCGTGAACTTAGAACAACCAAAATTTGAGCATTTTTACACAATCTTTAGAAAAAGTCAAATATTTTTAGACCATATCAAAATCTGTGAAGCGATTTTAACAATGCCTTAACGCTGCATATCCTAAAAGATTCTCTTCTTCCCCTTTGCTCTCGTTCTTCCTTCTCTCCTTTCCTTCCCCTTTTTTCCTTAAAATTGTCTGGTTTCTGGGTTACCAGACCTGACAGACTTACAAACTGACACTGTGACTCAAGAGCTAAGTTCCCACGGACCGCTCTGACAACCAACGATGACTTGAGACTACAGCCTTTCTAGATAACTCATAGATGGTCTTCTGGTTAAAGTTAACTTCCGTTTTACTATAAACATGATATTGAAAAACGCTTTTTCATAAATAACTATAAGTTAAGACCAAGGTAGTAGTAGTTAACCTGCGATTGAAAAACCGGGCCTAAGAGCTAAAGTATTTGACACGGCAGAATTTAAGTAGCATGCTGCTATTTGGCTGTCTAGGCTTCGCAAAACCGGCTAGTGACGCTGAGCTGGAGTAAATAGTGATTGCTTGGAGGTTCAGGACTTACATTGAAAGAAAGCCCGCCACTGCAGCCGCATCTCTGACCTATATAAACGCATCACGGCGGTGAATGCCAGCGTAATTAATGCATCAACGTTTTTTAATGCTAATTGGCAGAAACTCCGAGAGAGTTGGGCGTAAGCTGAGGCAATTCATTAAAAATGTCATTAATTTTGCTTGGTAGACGTGGCTGGGCCAGCAATGGATGTGCCAATGACGACGCGACGAGCCGCCCTGCTGGTCCAATGAATTTTTTGCAGTCGCATTTCGATAAAATTGATCCTTGGACGTTACGACTGGGACGCTTTTTACCGATGGCGATCTTTGGGTTTGATCTCGATCGAAACGACCAACCTTACGGATCGATAGTTTGT